ACAAAAAGAGGAACAAGAATTGCTGGAGCGTCAGCGGCAGCAGGAGCAACGACAGCAACAATCACAAGCGCAATCGCAGCAGCAGCAACAGCAGCAACAACCGCATCAGCCAGAGATGCATGAAGCAACCCATGAACAGGTAATGACGGATTCTGAAAAACATCCATATGATTTATTTTGCTTGTCTTTTTGCGTTTTTTGCATCTACACAATGCGGAAACGCATATTGTCTGTACCGATTTTTTATCTGAAAATCTACAACAGCTAGAGGGCTGAAACTTTGGAAACTTAATCCACATGCACGTATGAACCTCATCCTCAAAATGAGCGCTCTTACCCACGTGGTTGCTCCGCACGGGCCCTTGAAAGTTTTTTGCAGGTAAATTACTAACTCGGTAACTAGCAAAGTTAGAAAGTTGAAATTTTGAGGGGATGTTTCTTGTCAGTCTTAGCGGTCAATTTCAGTTCCTTTAGCTAGAAACATCTGCTGGAAAAAGCAGCACCGTTAGCGACAAAAATCTGCGACGGTCTATGCAAAAAACGCATCTTCGCACCGGCAGTGGGGACGCTAGCTAATTATTACGTTCTGATCAAGCGGTATTGCACTAGCGATGCAACTGTCAGTCCTTTAATGCTTGAAAGTGTCTTCTTACTAGAAATAATTTATGTGGCAAAGTTTATTTTTATCCGAGTCCATTTTACGCGTTTATCGCAATTTATTTCAATTTATCGAATCTCAAGATAACAGCAGAATGCAGTGTTATGTAGGGCAACTTACTGGGCCGATTTACAATTGCAGGGTGTACACCTGACTGCCCTCATCTCTCGGTCTGGACCATCACTTTTACCGCTCAATCTCTTTTTTATTTTCTTAGGTAGCGAACGCTGAAACTGTAGCTGTGATCAGGCTAATGTGTTCTTTCCCTTCAATATTTTTTTTATAAAATAGATGGAGTTGCTTGGAGAGAGTCTTTTTTTCTCTGTAAAGTATTAGGCTTAGCAAGGGCATTTGAATGGACGACGTGGAACTTGAGAGGTTTTCAGTCTTTCCTAGTTTAAAAAAAATAAATGGCAACGCGCACCAGACTAGCCGGTGCGATCATGCGTTTTGTGCAATTCAG